TTGACTATTAGATCTGTAACAATATTAAAACACAGACTTACTGAAATTCTGAGTTGATTCCAGGGTCTAATTACATTAACGATAAACCCTTTTTTGCAGTTCTGCTCCTTTTTGAGTAATACTGGCAGTGTAACTAGTTGGTATTAGCTGCTCAATTAGCCATGTGCTATTTGCTCCAGTTGGCTGATTAACAAGCACGATACACATGCTTGGCAGAGTGATGAATTGAGCTCCTTTAGTTTCCACACTATTACTGTTCACCTTTTCATGGGTGGAAATATTTATAAACAACCAAATCTGTCTTTCTTGTAGATCTTTTTCCACCCACATTTTGTAATCTGACATAATTCTATTGTTAAAACCATTAAAGACCTTATGTTTATAAAGTCCCCAGAAGCCTGGATATGATTCCTGAAAATAATCTTTTTTTTTTCTTTTACATTTAATATATGATTTCCATTGTGTATAATTTTTTTCATCACTGTGGTAATTTGTAACTTACAGGCTCAGGGTAATGTCTGAATCATGAGTCTATGTCTTACTCTGATTCACTTTGCATAAAATCACACCTCCAGTGCTGAACTCTGGATCAAAAGAAAAGTCAGCATGTGATGCTTTAGCCAATGATGAAAGGACAGTGACATTTCTCTCATGGTATTATTGCCCACCTTTGCTTCAGTGACCAAACGGAGGATGTGCATTGCACACTGCTGTGTGCTAATTAATAACACTCATACTGTTAGATTTGAATACCAGGTTTCACCATCCAACCTATGTCAGTTCAGATCCACATCCACCCCCAACAAACTGTGATTTGAACATGAAGAAGCAGACATCCGGCCCAATATAAACCCTTCCCTGAGGGCATGCAGTGAGTGAGCAGTACGACTCCATGTTCATCAGACATTGACTGATTGTAGGTCCAGCTGTGAGGGTATTGTACTGTTAAATGAGGAGGTATTAGGTAAGATTGACTTTTTTTAGCTTTACATTATGTTATGATGTTCTGTCACCATCAAAATCATACTTGGAGTGTTGCTTTGATTCTCTCATTCATGATTGAGAAATCCTTGAATCATTTGTTGTAGCCATCGAGGAATGCTTAAACACCTGCTCATACAAAGCCTCTGCTTGGAATTGCACCCTCTCCTGTGCCTCCTGCACACTGCTCCACTAGACTAGTGGCAGCAGCAATTAGCAAATATCTGGTGAAACTGTGTCTGCTGAGCTTTTGGATAAAGCCGTTAGAATGGTTGTCAATGACATTTTAAGTAGATTTATTGTGAAGACGTCCTGAAGATGGAGTGTCAGAAGAGTAGAAGCTTATGAAAGAGACAGAAGCCCATTACCAAGATGTCAAATGTTTGATTAAGCCAACATTTTCATAACTACTGAAAGTAAAATAGTTACTTGATTGTGCTATAAATGCACTATGTGCCAGGAAAATACATACCATCCTTTTAAAAAAAAATAAAAAATTGTGTCCTCTCTGGTTTTAAATAGTAATTTAAAACCAGAGACGTTTTGGCAACCAAAAAGACAAACATCTTTTTTTTTGTTTGTTTGTTTTTGTTGAGCTAGTTCTCATTGTTTTGTACTCTGAAAGGATGGGTGGAAATTTATTTGCTCAATATCATAATATGTCATCCATTTACTCAACAGACTCTGTGTCATCAGAAGTGCGAAACTGAGAGAGCTGCTCAGCACCTATCATGGCTGGTGAGAGAATGAAATGCTAGTTGGATTTTCTTATCACTGATCCCGTTTTTTGACACTCACTGGAAAACAACATGGGTACTACTACAAATAGGTGTGGGTAATGAAGCAGAAAATGGAAATGATGTTGTCTTATCCTCATCACAAAGCAATCCAGAATTTGCTGCGCCAACAATAAAAAGTCAAAGTTTCAAGGTCTGTAAGTGACTTGCCCCTACTGTGTACCAAATGCCTGACTCCATGTGGCATTTCTAATCAAACTCATTTAATGTTCTATGCAAAACAGATAATTGTGGAGATATTTCTGTTTTTTATTTAGCTCTATGTGAATACTTTTTAATATGTTATATCAGCAATCATTTTATGGTTTTATAAAACCATAATTATATCCTTCAGTGCTAGAATATACTTCAACATTTTATGTCCCCTCATAATGAAGCTTCGTTGACTGTTGGTGTCCCTATCTCATACGGAGATGAGAATTGTTGTGTTGTGTCCCACTGTGATCAATTAATGTTTACACTGTTTGTTTTTATTTTAAAAATTAAACTGCTTACACAGATGATCACCTTTAAGACTCCTTGTAATATGTTAGATGTTAAAAAGATTACAAATAGTTCAGAATTTACTGTTGATCCCATTATACCTTCAGTTACAATGGTTAGCAATTGTTGTATAATTGTCAATATTGATGATCAATTATTGGTTGCATTAAATATTACATATTCAACATAGGATATTTGAAAAAAAAAAAAACAATCATTTTTTTGGCCAAAGACATGCAGACTTGTCCTTTTTTCTTGTTTCTGTTCTAATCAGACATGCAGAAAATAAACTTTTCTCTGGAGAGCCAGATACAAATTCAGTATCACAAAGTGGTGTTTTTGACTACAGATAATAAAAGCTAAATTTAACATTTAGCTTTTATTTAGCAAATATCCATTGGTCTATCGGTCTTGTCCTCTTATAAACCCTGGCAGAATGTGACTCTTGGCAGGCAGACATTTTCTCATGGTGGATGTTAACCAATAGTAATGAAGTAGCATAAGTGGCATGAATACTGACATACAGAAATATTTTCCGAAATGTTTACTGCATAGTAATAAAACAACAAAAGGATCTAAATACATTTTTAGATGCAACGTTTCTCAGTTTTACTTAAACCACTTCTGTTTTAACTTCCAGTAGTAGCTATCTGCGCTGCAGTTTTAACACTATCTTGTGCATAGATAACATCTATTTCTGACTTCCTTTTTCACTGCATCCTTGATGTGGAATTATAATGATCCCATATGTAACTATAGCAAACAACATGGCTGTGGCCCAGGTTGGTCACGGTTCCCAAAAATCTAATTCTTCAAGGCTATCAGTAAAAAGTGATCTTCCACCTCTCCTTTATCTAAATAATTGATCAAATTTAATTTTTTTTAGCACTGCTGAAATTTTCTTTTTTCTATTATGTCATTGCAACAAAAAAGTCTGAATTACAATGTTTCAAAATTAGGCAGATTGTTTAGGATGTTTTGCTTGTAGCTCAGACATTTTTACTCTGAAAGAGGCAGCTGTAGTCACTAGCTGATATTTGTGGACCAAGAGGCAGCCGCTGCTGGGTTGGGGTGAGGTCAACGGCTCCATAAATTGTTTCTATTTTGTCACAGTTTTTGTGTAGCACTTAGACTTGCTGTGTAATAAAAAAAAAGACATAACGACAAGAACACCAGCAGCTTCCCTTTCACAATACTTATAGTCTCGATCTTAAATCTCAAACACAGTATTAATACCTTGAAATGCAGCAAAATACATTTTGGTTGTTCTTTATTTTTTTTGAATACTAAGAAAGCCAAATAATGGTGACTTATTTTTGGAATTGTTTCATAATTGACTTTCAGCCCAAAGAATGTATGACAACAATAATGTTCAGTCTGCACGGTTTATTCCTTCAATTTGCAACAAGCTGATGTTCACCTGTAAAATCTGATAGAGGTTCAGAAAATTTCCCCCTGAAGCAGTAGAACAGTGTCTTATTCTCATAAACCACCCTGGGAGAAAGATTAGGAGCCTCATCTCTTTCTTCCTTTTTACAAGCGTTCACCTCCTGCTAGGCTTCAAATATTAATGGAAGCATTTTATTTTTGTGCCAGGAAGGTGACCTTCACTGTGAGTGTGTCTCTGCAGTGGGAATAATACTCCACTTTCTCTTTACACAGGACAGTTTTTTAAACTTGAGCTTTGAAGCCAGATTATGCATTTACAGAACTTTTTCTTCATCTCACCAAAGGCAGTCTTTGATTATTTATTATGGAAGTGGAGAGCTGGGCAAAACTGGAAATTTAAGCAAGTTTTCCGATTTAAAATAAATAAATAAAAACACGTTGGAGACATGATGCTTAAATGATTAAATTAAACAGGTTGATTTCAGAAAACCTGCTCTTCATCATTCATTAAAGTTAATCTGCTAGGTTTAAAGTATTAGTTTTCATACATTACTTGTGAAAAATCAAATAATAAAGAATGTTTTGAAAAGTTAACTTTTATAGTTTGTATAAAAAAATAATACAGACAAACAAAACAACTGTTTTGGTGTGAATTTGATGATCATTGATTATTGGTGGGTTATGGTGGTGCCTTTTCTAGAGATGCAATGAGAAGGTATAACTGATTCTGACAGCGCTTGGAAAGTGTCAAAGAACTGCCACCCTAAATTTTTAACACCTTTTATTTACTGAATAACTTTATTACATATTTGATTGTTCATAAAGAATTTTTAACTTAATTAACTTAAAATATCTTTTTTCCACTAAAAACAGTTTTATCAGCTTTTAGCTTATGAAAACTAAACATGATTTAGCTCCCATAGATAAAACATGTCAATATTTCACTGAGGTGCAGAATAAAATAAGAAAACAAGAAAATAAATTATGAAGCTGCTGAACAGATTTAAGGGTGGAAAAATATGGTACAATTTAAAAGATAAGATTTTGTAATTATTTATTGATTGCACTCTTCTTTAAAAAAAAAAAAACACAAACATTGGAATTAATGTTGGAAGATCATGTGTTTCTGTGGCTCATGTTCACACAAATGGGAACATAAATAAACGTGAACAACCCAGAGGACAAGACTGATTCCAGAGCCAGGTCATCACTGGGTCACTCATGTTCTCAGAGCAGAACAGTCGCTCAAGTTTTATCTATGGGAGCTAATACATTCAGACACAACTTTGTTCTAATTATATAGCAAAGACAACACTATTTGTAACTATTAACATTTTAATGTCTCAACAGGTGCTGGGGAGTCTGGAAAGAGCACCATTGTAAAGCAAATGAAGTAAGTTAAGAACAATATTTTTATTTCATTTCTTGCTTTTGCTCATTTCTTTTTTTTTTTTTTTTTTTTACCTGACATGAGTCCTGTACAGTAACGGAAAGCACTTCAATGATTATTGAACTATTTTACCACTCCATTTATATTTTTTCAGTTACTTCTCTGATTGTAAATGTTTTAAACCAGAACAGCAATAGTTTACAGTTCCATGTCATTGTCAGTTAAGATACATTTGGATTCCTCCAATATGATTCCCAGGGATATTCTGCGCACTTATTTTTAAGAATTTATGTTTGTTAGATAACTCTGTAAACATAGAGGTACTTATTTCTGTGAAGAATTCAGTAAACCCACAAACACACATGCGCACGTGCGCACAGCTGAGGAAACTAAATTATTCACATTCCTCAGGGCTAACCAGGCATTGAATCCACTTATTATGAGCAGCAAGTGGAAACAATCCATTGTTTTTGAAATAATTTAATTAATACATTCAGACACATGGATAAATCATCATGTGAGACACACATGATATCCATCTGTTACACAGAAATAGCCTGTAGGAAGCTAGAAAAGCCACAATCCTGACATCTTAAAACAAACGAGATCTCATTATAACTTACCTCTGGTCATCATTAATCACTTCAGTTTATTCCACCAAGCAGCTTCACTTTAGAATCAAGAGAATATTATCTGAGATTGCTTTTTCAGCACTTTGTTGTGCAGTCTGATGTGTCTGATGGGAAATGTCTATGCACGTGTGGAAAGGCAAGCACTTCCATTATTCTTTACTTACAATTACAGTGCTGCAAGGGATGGTCCCACCATACTGCATCAGCTGAACGCTGCAGAGATGATGCAGTTCAACTAAGTGTTTACCAAACTGCTGCATGTCTTTAAGACTTGGTTCTTACATTCTCTGCAATTTTATCTCAATGTTTTTTTCATGGTCTGCTTGACTAATAAGGACAATATTTCCTGACTTTCTTCCTCGTCTCATCATCATCTGTTTGTTTGTTTATTCATCAGCACATCTGTCTGTCCATTCATTCGCTATCTATTCCTCCCTATCTGCTTCCCTCCCTCCCACCCAGCAGTATTTGCTTTCCTCACATTTTAAATCAGATTGCTCCACACATATCTTCCATGAATTTATGCTGTAACCAAATGCTAATTAGAACACAAACTGTGAAACATATTGATTTGACTTCAGAAGCGTAATTAACCTGATGTGAAATGTTGCAAAGCATGCAGAATACCTTTTGATTGCAAAGCTGAAAACATGTTAGTTTTAGTGCTGTCATTGTAGTCACTCTATAACTGTATAACTTCACTGTGCATCTGCTTTAGATACTTTATTTTGCTTGTTACCTCAGAAATTGAACTTGGTGGTGAGACCTCTCTCTGTACTCTTGTGTTCCTCCAGCACTTGTTTTGCTCTTTTTCTCCCTGACAGTGTAATCATACACCTGTGAGGTCAGTTGCTGAGTCTTTATTGACCCTCAAGCAAAGTACTAGAGGCCATTGTTGCCAGTTTTAATGTGATACTGCTGACACATTATTGACTGGTTGCATGGATGGTTACCCACCTTTTACCATGCTCATTTCCAATCTATGTTGTTAAAATCAATACTAAAATTGTGGATCCACTAAATCATTGGCTGTTTGACCAGCCATGGCCATTGAACTCTTCTAGACATATCTGATGTTGTGCCACAGGTTTGTTAAAGTCATGTTCAATTAGACACTGATACACATGGTACAGCCACACTTGCTTTGTGTGAAATTTATTTTGGCTGTAAAAGCAGAACCTTTTACAATTTCTGCCCCCTCTGCCCCTGATAAAGAAGTGTGATAAAACCATAACATGGATGATTGTTATGGAGACTTTGTGACTCCACTCTGGTGCAGTTCTCAACAAGTGAGAAATTGAGAATTTCCTATCTTGTTTATTCTAATCCTCACTGTGTGTGGAGGCAAGATAAACATTGTTTGACAAGATAAACATTTTTTATCTGTCTATCCTTCCTTCCATCTTTTCTTCTTTTATTCTTTTCTTTCTTTCTTCCTTCCTTGCAAGCTACATATTTAAAATCTGACCACATCATTTAATTTTGAAAATGTGTGTGAATCCTTATTTCTACCAGCTGTATTTGTGCCAACACTGTTAGAAGACTATTTCTGCAGAGATACTCCATAATTGTAAGGGTCTTTGCAGAGCAGCAAAGACAGTGTGAGGCCTCAATTTAGAAAAGCAACTGCAGTGTTGCTTTACTTTGTGGACTTTTGAATTTCTCTATTATTTTCCACAGATGCTTCATGTTTTTTTCTGACATTTTAGGATCATCCATGAAGACGGCTACTCAGAAGATGAGTGTAAGCAGTATAGAGCAGTTGTTTACAGTAATACGATCCAGTCGATTATGGCCATTGTTAAAGCCATGGCCAGCCTCAAGATAAACTACAGTGACCCTGCCAGAACGGTAAGACACACAAACGCAAGACACTGATCAAAGTCCAATATTTGTCAAAAATGTAAATGTATCTACACATTATTTAATTTCTTAGCAAATGCTCCAATGTAAACAGCCAGGCTGAAAGCAAGTAATCCTAATTATAATTAGTAAATCCAGTGTGAAGCTGTTGTTCTTAAGCAAGGTCTCCCTTTGGCTTCAACAAACACTATTTTATCCACACCATCTTGCAGTTCTGTGTCTAATTCAGACTTTAAAGCTCACAATATGCTTCCCCTGACCAATTTCACCAGTGTGTAGCTTTGCTTCGAAACCCACTCCTTACCAAGCTTAGCTGCATGCTCCACTTATTTTCACGGTAAAATAACATTTACTCCCTGACTTAGACCTACCCCAGTGCAACTTGGTGTTCAAAGATTATTTCAAGGCTACGACGCCTCTGGGAAAGCAGGTCTGTTTCTCACACTCTCCTGGCAATTCTTGCTCAGTCAATAACAGCGGGAAGCTGTGCCAGAAAACATACGTAGGATCATGTGGTTTCCAGCACGCACCTGTTCACAGCAGCCTTTTTTGTCTGAAGAAACATTGATGTGGTGGAAACTGGATCATGGTGTGATTCTTCTCTGATGTATCACTGCAACCTGCAGGGAAACGGTGTCTGCCCTACTGAATTCATCTTCCCCTCCATCTTTGATCTGCTCTCTCTAAGAGCTGTAATAGACACGTTGGAGTCTGAAACTTATAAATACATGCAGCTACTGCAGAAGTAGTGTCTTCTGGGGGGATTGGGTATGTTCAAAAGTGCTAACAGATGCTATCCATAGCATCAGCAGCTGAATTAATTTGATAGCCTGCTTAATTTGCCCAGCTGTAGCAGGAAGAGTCCAGACATGGTCGCATTGTTAAATTTTGCATTGTTAGGGCAATGAATTATAATTTTATGACTATCCATGACCTCCTGTCATTGTCGGGTCTACCTCGGTGTTATGTTCTGCTATTGCATGGGAATGACAGAAGGGGGAGCTCTTAAGTATGTGACTAAGATATGCTGTATGAGGAGAAGAAGAGAGGAGTAAAGAGAGAACTGAAGCTGAACTACGTCTCATGCTGCTTATTTTCTACTATTTGAGTATAGCAACACCACAACACTGGGCATTGTGGCCCTGTCAGTACTGGTGTGTGTTTCACGAGTTGTAACTAATGACTCTTACATAACTTGTTTATTTGGGGATTTAAAGTAGTCCTTATTTTGCACCACCTTGTGATTTTACTGCCTGAGGTTTTGTGTAAATGACTAAACTGAAGGAGAACTTGATGACTGTGTTTATGTCACTGGGGTTGGTTCATAACTCACAGTCCTGCATGCTGAAGATGTCCTGCCATGCATGCCTGAGGACTCATTAATTCGTTAGTTATGGTGATGCCACAAAAAAGAAGTCTAATTTTACTCTGCTTCCTCCATTTTCCAGCCAAACCCAAGTGTACAAATAAGACAATATTTATTTTTATTGAACTTTTCACCAGTTCTCTTTTCAAAGTGCTTCACAGAGAAATAAATAAAATCCAAAAAACAAAATAGCCTAAAAAAAAAAACTAAAGGGGAGTCAGGAAACATGAACACATACTAATATAAATGTTTTACTGAAACAATAAGTACAGCTACAGGATTAGAAACATAAACTTTATAATAACTTAAGTGTATGCCTGAATATTTTGATTGTGTCTAAAGCAAAGAGGGACAAAGTTCAAAATCCCTTTTAAAAAGTTTAAAGACTCAGCAGTAGTCTTTAAACGTAAAGTTTCTGGGATCGTGCTGGAATTAGTCAAGGCGATCCAATGGTCAATTGCATCAAAACAAACCTTAGATCGGTTTATAGTGAGTCCCAAATATCAAGACCTATTTTTATGTATTTATTATTATTATTATTTTGTTTTTTTTGCAAATACCTTTTGCATTGTTCCTGTTTTTGTCATCTTGTTTTGACCTGTGATGGTTTTTCAAAATTTGCATACAAACGAATGAGGAATTGCCTTCATTATTATGCTAATAATGTTGTAAAACTGTGTGGTATAGTCCTAATTATGATTCATTTACCAAAGCTCACTCTTTTCATTATATGACTTTTAGACATAAATATACACAATTCAACCTTGCTAAATTTAAAATGGAAAATTCACAATTCCAGGTAGAGATGCTGTCCGCTGCATCCTGCAGACTTGTTGCAACCCAGGAAAAGTTGCAGTCAACCCTGACTGAACTGTGTGTCCATACAGTGAAGCCAGCGTATGCGCTCAGAAACTGAAGCTGTAATCAGAAGGTTGAGGACGCTGCTGTAGTGTAATTCTGTGTGTGTTGCTTTTGTTTCTCACCAGCCTTTCTGTTAAATGGCTCTGTGTACGTGACGACACTCTCACACTCCTACGCGTATCAATTAGCGCGTTAGCCTGCCTGCACTTGGATACATCAGCTCTGTTGAGATGTGAATGCACGCAAGCAAGCTCACATCGTGCAATTCCAGTTTACACAAGTGCAAAAATGTTCGTGAAATCAATTTTCCACTTGGATTTCATCCATTTGGTCTGCCAAATATATAATATATATATGTGAATATATGTACAGTACAGCTGCTGAAGTCGAGTACATTTGTTAGACTAAATACCACTACAAAAAATTATATATTTTCTGCTGAATATAGGAAAAGAAATGATCTAGAAGGTAATTAATGATAGATATGTTAAAAGACTTAAGTAAAATGGAACAACTGCTGCTAATATCCATATTGCTTCCCTGGCTGTAGCTTAAACTTGTAGCTATAGTTGGGTGATATTTTGCATACTGGTCAAAAGGTCTGGATATGGATGGTAAAAAGAGAAACCATACAGGAAACATTTCTATTCCCATCATCCATCCATCTATTGTCTTCTGCCTGTCTGAGTCCAAATGTTTGACTCCCAAATGTTTATTTTGGCTTTTTTTTCAGTGATTTGGATCCAAGTGTGCTTTTTTTCACTTAACAAATTATTATAATTATAAAGCCTTGGATTTCTCCCAAAGATAATACTATTGTCCAGCCTTTTTCTTATCAAACAAATGATCATTTATAAATAAGTCATAGCCCACAAACTTTTGTATATTTTCGTGTACCAGGTTAAATTTTTGCATAGTACCTTAAAACTTCTCCACAAGGAAAACTCATAATTGTCATTACTTCTATTGAAGGACGATGCCCAGCAGCTTTTCGCTCTCGCTGCAGCTGCGGAGGAGCAAGGCATTCTTCCTGAAGACCTGGCCAACGTGATCAGGCGGTTGTGGGCCGACAGCGGCATACAGAGTTGCTTTACGAGGTCGCGAGAATACCAGCTCAATGACTCAGCAGCGTAGTAAGTATGGATTGGTGTTTCATGTAAAAGTGATGCATCAGAAAATTACACACTGTCGTCTCTGCAAAGAAAATGTAATAATTCAGCTGGGTGTTGATCTGCCACTTTGAGAATCAAACTCTGAACATTGTGCCTGTGCAGAAACTGTTATTTAGACGGGACTGTAAAGGCTTTGTGACAATTCTCACTTAGATAATTGCCTCTGAACTCAAGTACTCATTTAATGATTTAAAAAAAAGTGCATATGGAATATTCTACCTGCACTGGATTTATAGTTTTGACAAATTTGTATGTTTTATTAATGACTGTTTAAACCTGCTGCCTTGGAGGAGGCGATTCATTGGCATTGTGATGGATTCTCTTTGGAGCATTGATGATATGAGCTGTTGTGAAAACCTGCACTAGTTCTCCAGGGGAGTAATGGAGACCAGAGAAATTGGCCAATAACTTCCATTTACCCGTCATTTCTTCCTCTGTGGGCTTAATCTTTAATGTTGAAAACTGATAAGAAGAAAAATATACCGTATTTTTTCATTGGCAATGAAGACATTAAGTGTTTCCTTCAGGACTGATGATACATTAATACTCACAAGTGGCTCTTTTTGCCTTTTGGAATTAATTTATAGATTTTAGCTTCCTGAGGAATATAGTATGAGAGTAGTTATCATGAACAGAGAGAATATTTAGGAAATTGTTTGTTTTATTCTCTCCTGTATGCCTTTCAGGTTTTGACACCTCATTAAATATTAAACCGTATGGCTGTGACAAGCAAGAACAGAGAGATCAATGAGAGAAATATCCATTTCTTTTTACAAAGTGTAGAGTGGCTGGACATCTAAAGTTTCAAGCTGTCTTTGGAAGATGATGCAAAACTTGTGTAAGTGGGTCAGCCAGAGCGGCATGTAGCAAAGATTCTTCTACGCCCCCCTACTGACCAGCAATCTGTCAGAAATTAGAGGAACTGCAAGAAATTATTTAGGAGAACCGGCTGCAATAACAAAGAGGATATAATAAAAAGATATTGATTGTCTTTGCAATGCATATATATATATATATATATATATATATATATATATATATATATATATATATATATATATATATATATATATATAAATTTTTTTACAATATTTCTGACAAGTAAGAGAATCACAAAATGATGATTTTTACATGGATCATCATAACATGCCATTCATAACAGTTATGAGAAAAATAGCAAATTATCTTTTTATCGCCATGGAAAATCTCTGATTTTTGCATTTCAGTCTGTCTTGCCTCATAATGCAAGATAATGATATTTGTAGACCATCTTTTCACAAGCACAACAATGACTGCAACTTCCTAAAATGTCACAAAGATGCATTTTAAGTAGATTTAAAAATGAGAGGGCTGTTTAAAACTGACTAATGAAACCTTCAGTCAGTAGTTATATGTTGAAACTTTCTGCTTCACTGTTGATTTTTCATTTCCGCTTATCAAACACAACATTTGTACATATAAGGCCACAATTCTTCCCCTGAGAAATCTTGTTTATATTTGAGAAGTAGCTGCAATATATATCATTATTTGTGTGTTGTTGGTTGGTAAGCTAAATGTTAGCAATGTGTGTGAATGAGTCAGAGCTGCATTTTTTGTGCAGAGCCTCATCTTCCACAAGACTCACAAAGTGACCCGTTGGAGCATGAAAACCATTAGCAGCAACAAGCAGCTGGGGAGAAGGCTGCACAATCAATTCTGCACATACTGCTGCACTCAGACAACAAAACACTTACGCATAAGTCTGGACTGATGTTGGGAGACTGCACCAAGATGGATGGATTTAAAAGTTTTAAAAAACTGATATGGATTGTTCTACTAATTAATTATGTCCTTTAATTGTGTTGATTTGCAGCACATGTGAAGGAATAAAGACAATGTTTTTTGCATGTTCAGGTGTTCTGTGAACAGAGTAAAATCTGTTCGGAAGACGCTTCTCTTTATTTCTATTGCAGCATCACCGCAGTGAACTAGCAAGAAGATAAAGTTGCAGACCAGCAACCAGTGCAATTGAGTCTTAACATGAGAAATACATTTTATTCATTTATTACAACACTGTAACTGCACATTCATATGTACAAAAGCACTCAAAGTCTTTCTAAGAAGTTAGAGCTTTCAGGGTGCTTTGGGTTGCAGCCTAATGAACTTATTGCTCTCTGTGTTGTCCACCACATAAGCCTGCATGTATTGTTGTTTTGCTTCGCCTCAAGTGTTAGAAATTGCGTTGAGCTCCTGATCGCTGTTTTTGTCTCTTAGTTACCTGAATGATCTGGAGAGGATAGCTAAAGCAGATTACATCCCCACCCAGCAAGATGTGCTACGCACTCGGGTTAAGACAACCGGCATCGTTGAGACTCACTTCACCTTCAAGGAATTGCACTTCAAGTAAGATCATAGCACAGTGACTTGATTGGTGGATGCAAAAAGGACAGACAAAATCAATAATAACACAGTGCTTCTCAGATTGTAACGGCAGATTCACACACTTAGGGAAACTTTGTAACTGAGGATTTGTTGCAGCCAAGTGCTGCTGATCAAACGAACCCGATTCTATCATCATCATCATCCAACATTAATCTCAGTGTTCTGGAAAGGTGATCATATTCTCAATATTTTTCCACCACAAGTTTTGATAGATTTTATTGGGATTCTTGGAAATAAGAATTTTCTATCGCTCCCAGCTCTGGATTTATTTATCTGGATAGTTTGGAAGAGAACCCTGCAATCATTTGGGAGTAAAGTCTACAGAGATCAATATAAAGACCGGCTGCCTTCAGAATTTGTGAAGTACTTCACAAATTGTCAGAATTTGTGAAGTAAACAGAAACTGATATAGAGTTTTCAAAGTTATTTAAAAGCAAAATCAAAATGTGAATATTGTGAACTGTAGTTGTCTTCTCCACACATTTTGTGTCAGTTACAGTCAGTGGGTCTCTTGATATATCTTTGGAGGCTGAAATGCTTGTGCAGAGCCTCATCTTTGAGCCTCTGTAAACTGATATTTTATCATTTTTGCCACATATTTTAAGTTGACTTTAGGTTTGAACTTTGTCCAACACATTCTAATATGTATATTTAAAAAAAAAAACGCCTTGACTAACCCTTCCCAACTCTAGGTTTATTTTAAGTCCTGTTGTTCTGCTTGAAAAGGAACTGCCACCCAACTTTCTTGTGGTTTGGATCCTATAATAGGATTTCTACAACAATTGCCCTGTATTTAGCACCATCCATCTTCCTATCAGCTCCGACCAGCTTGCTTACCCCAACTGCAGAAAAACATTCCTCATATTACAATGTTACCACCCCCATGTTTAATCATGGGGTTGATGATGTAGAGAATTTGTTTTTCTTCATGCATAGTGCATGTACACACAAGATACCCTCAGATGTTTTTCCTCCACCTCAGAGTAGAATTGTGTTATGTACCTCCTCAGGTTTCAAAATATTTCATTTTAGATTCACACAATCTACACATAGTATAGCTCCTAGCTGTATTCCGGCACTTTTCTAACAAATTCACAATAAAGCAAACTACTTTGAGTCAAAATAAAATAATTAAAAATTCAGATTTACAAACCCTATTGTAGTTTGTCAATAGGGTATGAATACTTTTGCTGCATTTACGTGATTAAGAGTGTGCACATTGTTTACACATTTGGGCAGAAAATATAATGGTCCTGTTATTAATAGCATTAGAAGTGGCAATCCATGCTGGTGTAAAATGGGCAATTCCAACACTTATAAGCCAAATTATGACAGAAATTAAAAGCTCAGCCATCATTATCGCTCTCAGAGCAGAGTAAATAAATCGGATTCTGCCCACGTCGCTCTTGTTCAATAAAACAAGAGCTCTACTGAGTGGTAACATTTAGTAGGTTCTACATGACGCACTGCTTTTGGTCTTACATAAAATATGCTGTGACCCAGGTGAAGCACTTATGCGTGGGTTAGTAATGGATGTATAGGGACGGCTCTTATAGAGGACAGGAAGTGGTTTAAATACTGGAGAATGGAGGGAAAGGTATAGAAGGACATTACACCTACTACAATGTTTTGCTGATTTAAAATGCTTTTCCGTCACTGAAGTGAATTCATTAAAAAGGCAGCTCAAGCTAAAGGTCTCTGGTGTGACCAGCCTCCTGATAAACTCTGACATTTACCCATAGTCTCAGTCTCAGTACTCACCCTGAATAATACACAAAGACAATCGATAGCAGGAAGCAAGCTTTTTATAGTTTGGTTCCTTTTCCGTCAATTATCATAGACAGAAAAAACTGGGGAAGGGAGTTGGTTTACACAGGTTTGTGTAAATGGTTTTATTAGATTTCATCAGCTTTGTTTACACTTCAGAACAACAATAACAATGAGACCAACGTCCTGAACGAAGAGGAGTTTTTGCCATCAACTTTTACGCTCAGCTTTTCCATTTAACATCTTACTCTCAATATAAGGCAGCTTCTGTCTCTCATAGCCTTTCTTCATTCCCTTCTTTTTACATATTTACACTTCGTCACCACTTTCCCTCTCAAAGCAACTTCATGAAAGTATGATCAGACTAACTTACTCCTTCAGTCCCCCACAGATGTTCTTCCCTTAAGCTTCTCTTCAGTGTCCTTTTTCTGTATTAACCACATCTTATACAAGCAGACAATTTATCCTTTTATTCTGAAATTTTCCCTTGCAGAATGTTTGATGTGGGAGGCCAGCGGTCAGAGAGAAAGAAGTGGATTCATTGCTTTGAAGGAGTAACAGCCATTATCTTTTGTGTTGCACTGAGTGCATATGACCTGGTGCTGGCTGAGGATGAAGAGATGGTAAGAAAAACCCCCATCCTCTGGTCTCTCCTAGATTCACAAACCTGCTCTTTATCTGGTGTCAGCTCAGGCTCTGCTGGACTGCAAGGCGTTATGGGCAGAACTCTGGATTATAACCTGAGAACATCCAATCCCAGGTTGTAAAATTGGCTCATTGAACTTTAATCTGGAGTGTGAGTATGTAGTACAATTTCTAATAGGTGTTTTCTGAGTGACTAGGAAAGGTTTGGGGAAAGACTTCAACAAAATCTCTGCTCTGTTTATCCTCACGTTTAAATTATTGCATGAAACAACCTTGCCCCCTGGTGGAAGCTCAGAGGCATTGCTGCAATCATGTAGTTTTGTTTTAAAGGTGCGTTTCAAGATGCTAGAATATCACTGGACTTTTATTGGAGGAATTCACTTCAACAAGGAACATTAACATATTTTAAGGATTCACTACACACAGTTGTTATATTTCAAGATGTTTTTTTTTCTGTTAATGTTGATGATTACAGTTTAGACATTATGAAAAACCCAAATTCAGTGTATGACTTTATTAGTATATTACACAAGTTCAAATAAAAAAGGATTTCTCATGCAAATTTTTTTTATTATGTCCTACAAAAAGACAGCACCAGACAGACAGAAAAGGACATTTTTAATGAAATTGGTTGCTAATAACGTTCTGTATCCAGTATATCAACGGATAGTTTAGTGGAAGGAAATCTTGGGGCAGAAGAAGGTGCAGCAAGGATAACAGTAGACTTAATAGTGTTGTGAAGCAAAACTTATTCAGGAGTTTGGAGACGATGCACAAGGTGTGTTGTATTGAACAGGTTAATTACAGTTTGAATGTCAGTGAGCACGTATTATTGCCTCGTTAAAAACATCCCTTGAGTATTCATGTACGTTAGAGAAATCCTCAGCACCCATTCGGGGGTAACTGGGCTCCACCATACTAGGAGCAGCAGGGGCAACCTGGTGACCTGGTGAAACTGCAGGTCCTCTGAGCTCCTCATGCAAACTGCTTCTCAGAACACAATATGAATGGCTGTCAAAGGCATAACGGAGAGGCATTGTTGCAATGACGTACTGAAGGCGGAGAGTCAGAAAGAGCAGGAGCTTCTTAAAGAGACAAAGCCAATTTTAATGCTTTAAATTGCAAAGTCAAATTTTGAGTTATGTTTGATATATACAGAATTTTTCAAACTACTAAAGGTAAGATTATTTCTTTATGGTGCTATAAAATGGCTCTATGTGCCTGGAAAATACATAACAATGCCCCTTTAAAAGATTTCCATTTGAAGCAAGATCCATTTTTGGATCAAATAACTCATTTATTTATTTTTTATTTTTATGTCTTTACATCACACTTAAATTTGTATTTACATACCTTATGAATGCATAACCCAAAATGTCTTTTAGCATTACTAAAAGCTACCCAAGCACTACTAGTAGTACTCGGCTCTAATTGAAACTGTTGACCATGACTATCTTTTCTTTTGTCTAGAACCGAATGCATGAGAGTATGAAGCTTTTTGACTCCATCTGCAACAACAAGTGGTTCACAGAAACCTCCATCATCCTCTTCCTCAACAAGAAGGACCTCTTCGAAGAGAAGATTACTCGCAGCCCTCTCACCATCTGCTTCCCTGAATACACAGGTACACATCATTAACCCTTGCAACATCTCGCCGAACATCAACCCCAAAACTTTGATAATTCATGTTTTCCTAACTGTTGTTGCCAGGAGCCAACAAGTTTGATGAAGCTGCCAGTTACATCCAGACCAAGTTTGAGGACCTGAACAAGAAAAAGGACACCAAGGAGATTTACACCCACTTCACTTGTGCCACTGACACCAAGAACGTTCAGTTTGTCTTCGATGCTGTCACTGATGTTATTATTAAGAATAACCTGAAAGACTGTGGTCTTTTCTAAAGGTAAGACATGAGAATGAAAGGAGTTGCAGAAAAGTGTCTGCCTTCTGAAAAAAATATGTATGCTTTACAAACGTATTCATACCCATCTAACGTTTTTTATGTCAAATTTCAATAACTAAATGTGTTTAGTGTTGGTCTATCTATTTCGTGATAGACCAACACAAGGTAGTGCATTCATAAGGAAAGGAAATTTGTTTGCTGTTTTGCAATATTCATTAAATTTTTGGATAATGAATCAAACAGTGCTTAGTAAATGTTTAAAGTTCAGGATGTTGCTTTATCACCTAACCCTTCCTATTCTACACAGTTTTATTCCTGATCCGGTTTTTTACTTAATTTTTGCGATACTTTGTTGCTCACTTACAGACCAGGAGGCAGACAAAGGCTCTAAAAATGCAGGAGGGAAATAATTTTGCTATGGCAGTATGCAGTAACAATTTTTTAAGAAGAGACATCATAATTTGCAAAACATGCATCACCAATTTGATCTAACCCAGACTTAAAGACACCATATTTGAATGTTTGCACTGTTACTTAAAATTTGTAGTTTTAGTTTGATTTGCTGTGGAAGCGTGTATTTAATGTAAACGTGTCTGAATGCATGTCTCTGCTTTCTCTTTGTGCAGGACAGCACCCATCACAAACAGACTGCATGAGAGACTACAATAGCCATGTGATGATTCCTGCTTTTTCATAATGAAAACCATGATGTGTTCATTTTTGTTTTGGAAAGAGGAACCTGTCAGAACTTCTGTAATCACTGATCCACATTCACCGTCATCCACATTTCTCTGTAATGAGTTTTTTTTTTTAAATTCATAATACATATTTGGTCCTAAAACACAATTTATATTGTAATTTTAAACTGTGACACTTTAATAAGATCTGTCTTTGTAGCTTTTGTTTAAAATGCAAAACATGACATGTTATCACAGCACAATGGTGGTGGATATAGAGAAGATTTTGAAAGAATTTAATCATTAATTGACCCTTTTAATGCCACATGCAGTGATGGTTTTATTTCATTTTCCTATCATTTTGTCTTGATATTGGCTGACAAAAAGGAAACAAAACAAAAAACTTTTTTTTATACATATATAAAAAAGCACATGAATCTCTGTCAACATTCATTTAGGACCCTTATAAACTGCACAGAGATTATTTTTAGAAAAAAACTAAGCACGGAAACAGAAACTGGATTAAGGATAAATGTTTTTTTGTACACTGTTTACACAGAGTCAATATTCACACATGTATAGTGGATCATTCTGCATGAACCTCCATAGATTATTAGCCTGTAATCTCCTCCCATAAACTGATTAACAACCCCATAGCATCATGTTAAAAAAACAAAAAAAGCAGAAATGGTTAATGTGTCACTTTTAAGGTATATGTAAGACTTTTAAATGGTTATGTCTGTTCCCAACAAGGATTGTTCTGTCGGTCTTTTCATTCCAAGTCTTTTTAAACATATGTTTGTGCCTTGATATCTGTTTACACTTGTTCTTTAGAGACATGCCATCTTCATTGTGTGAATTAGGGCTATTTTTATTCCACCCAAGTTCACGGGATCTGAGATTTATGATGCAACACCACACAAAGACAAATGGATGATCGTTGTTCATTAATATTATTCTGATTCTCTTGTTAAATGTAAATAAAGTTTGACCACATTCACTTTTAGCTTCAATGTGATTTTTTAAGCAAGAGTGTAAAAGCTGTTTCTTCCATCTTTGAGTCTGGGTTTTTCATTAGCACTGAGTTTTAAACATTAAAATTAACAGATGCATATCCAATGACTTTGACATAAGTTTTGCTTTTTGATCTTGAATAACTGAAAATAACTTTCTCAAATTCAAAGTAGACATTTATATTTAATCTCATATATTTAGAACTTAAAATTTACTGAGATGGATCTGTTACTACCACACATACTTATCGGTTTTTGGTTAATCTATCACATCTGGTGATGAGGTCAGTATTTTTGGTTTCAAAGTTCTCGAGTTGCTAAGAATTCGTTTTTCAAACTAAAATTTGAAACATTTAGTTCACGATATTTTGGACTTTAGAGCAGCAGCTACCCTGAGAGCAAACAACCATGTTACCCGTCACTTCATTTGACTGAACTATAATATTTGTAACAATTGTTTTGCATTGTTTTCCAACGAATTCTTTGCTTTTACTCAAATGACAGTTGAGGGACAGAGAAGAAATATCCAGCAGGTGGCGCCGTGGAGTTTAGTGGCGGAAGTTACTCTGAGCAATATTTGGATGACATTTATTCTGAATTGAATGTGAATTTATGACCCAGTCTTAAGCAGAATCATAATCTAAAACTGTTCGATGTGGAAATTAGTGACCCGAGTTGTAGTTTTTGTTAATAAATCACAGCTTCAAGTGCCTCCAACTGTTTAGTTAGAATACTGGTAATATGTTCGACGTTAAATTACAATTCAGTCAATACTGTGCAGAAAACAATATTGTACATATTCCAATTAAAGGTAAATACTACAAGCAAAAGTGTCATAAACTACAGTCAACAGTGATTCCGAATGATAAAATGTTTCTATTGCACTATTAAGCCTGGATTCCTTTTTGTGCAGATCCAGATGTGCAGTCAGAAGACGGTGAAATTTACTCTCAGTAACACGCTGTGGTTGTTGTCTCGAGCGCATTGTTCCAGACAGCCTCCTATTGGCTGGCTTTGCTCAGTGCTCTGCGCTGATTGGGTGCAATAGAAACGTTCGGAGCCCTCAAATTGATGTGACGGAGCTTCATGAGTGTTAAAGGAGGGAGTTGATGCCAGGAGACACATCATCGCCTGGAATCAGCTTGGATGTGTTGGGCCGTTTATTGCGCTTAAAGTTCACTTTAAAGGTGAGGTTGACCTGCAGTTCTGGTTGCAGTTAAAGTTTAGGAAGTGAGTAATCTTATTGTTATTTGGCTAAATTTCCTTTTTGTTGTTCCAGAGAAAAAGAAAACAGCCTGGGGATTGAGGCTTCAGCAAAGCTTCTAGCAAGGAATGGTAAGTTTATTTTCCTCTGATCTTTTTCCACTTTTCTTTTTAGGCAAAAAGCTACAGCATTTAGGTCTAAGTGACTGCCAGAAACTTTGCCTATTTAGTTTTTCTTCAGTGATTTGTGAGACACCGACATGCTTCTCTCCACAAATTGTAGTTTACTCACACTGAAGTGTTCCAGGCAAATGCATAGTGCAGCTGAATTATCTCTCCCCATTGTGTGAAAGCAGCCAAGAGGAACAGGGGGACTTTAACAAGTCTCCCTCTGGGTGTCTTTTTATGTCTGATAAGTTGTACTTGAGGGCCAAATGGTTCAGCACCCACAGCTGTGATAACATCGTGGCATTGTGGTGTCCAAACTCTGAGGCAGAACTTAATGTTTCAGGGGAAAATTAAAAAAACAACTTTTGGGGGCTGCAAATGCTGAGAATTTATCTGTTGTTGTTGTTGTTCTTTTTTTTTTTTAATAAAGAATTGTAAAACATCAGGTTACTGATTTGAAACTTGCAGAAGGCGATTATCCACTGTGCTTACAAGATTTGTGTGTAATTCCATGGGGTTGCTGTCATTTCCTTCTGTATTAAACACAGCACTCGACATCCTGTGGGCCGAAGGAGTCCAGGGAGGATATGTGAGCCAGCACGCCGCAGCCCAGATTCTGCTCCACTTTATTCAAAACTTCCCCTCTTAAGATTAGGAGGCAGAGGTTTTTAAATGTCATTTTAAAAATGTGCATCCTGTGCTGTGAATTCTGGCTCGTGCTGGAGTTCAGAAAGTTGGCGAGTGATCTCAGCTGATGGAAATCCTACTGGTTTTGTGGAAATTACATGAGGATTTGCCTTTATCTCAAAGAGATTTACAGGAGCACAATAAGATGTTTGCATTGCCCTTTACCCTTTCTTTGGGATTTCATGTGATAGATCAACATACAGAAACGTAAAACTGAGAAGTAGAAAGAAAATTATGTATTTTTTTTTTCTTTATGAGAAATAGACAATTTCAAAGTGTTGTGCATTTGTAAATGGAGCCCTTTAAAGTGATATCCATAAATACAATCCTGTAAAATCAATGATTCCAGCAGTCACCTGTGTGTTTGAGATAATTAATGGACAACATAAAAATCAAGGAACACATGTCTTGATAGAGCTGAAGTGGTGCTTTATTCTGAATATATCCCAGGTTTGACAACTCTACAGAGTGCTGTTAAGTTAATATTGTAGTGGCAGTTTGATGCTTATGGAACAGGAAAGATGCATAGAGCTAAACGTGCTGCGCCTGTGGAAGAAAACCTGACAGCTAAAAGAAACAGTCAAAATCTAGAAAAAAACTGATTGCAATTTACGTCCAATCTGACTAATCCTTAGGAAGAGTTAAGTGATGCACCAGTGTGCATTATTTAACTCTTAAATGATGCACACTTGAGAGTTTATAATGTGATTTAATTTATCACATTAAATCTTTATAAGATATATTACAGTATGAGGTTGTTGCATGATGAAATGTGGAAAAAGTTCTATGTCCTAATGCTTTTGTTGTGGTTGCAAAGCTGATTATAATTCATCTTGTAAGTTTTGCATGTGTAATTGCATATTTGTCTGTTTCTCCATGTGCAGCTGTGTTTGGGAAACTCCACTGACTGCCTCCGGGACCAAATGCAGTCTATGATGAGGTCCTTGCAGGACCTGAAGCAGATCAGCAGGCCGAGGCCGCTGAGTGAGCCGTGTGACCAGTCCTTCGCTGTCACAAGACTCTGCAAACAGAGAGCGCAGCAGGAGCGGCTCACTCGCCTCCGTGTGTCTGACGCCAGCGAGGCCAGCACCTACGACTCCGCCTGCTGCCTGGCCAACCCGCTGGAGGAGGAGGAAGAGCAGCGGGAACCAGATCGGCTGGCGCGGAGCTCTGCAGCCAGCGAAAAGAGCGTGGATTTGGACTCTGGTTTCTCCGAGGCTTCCTGGCAGGATGAAGGTGTGGTGCTGAGAAGGACCAGAAACGTGCGAGTCTCCTCCTCCGCCTGCGTCCGAACAAACAGAGGAACCTCCGGCCGTGCCAGGCCAAAGTCGACGTCTGACGTCTGTTTGGAGCGATGGACTTCTTTTGAAGCGAGCGATTCGGAGGACTGGACCACGTCGCTGCTGAGCCGCAGCAGGAACAGGCAACCGCTGGTTCTTGGGGACAACAGCTTTGCTGACCTCATAAAGAACTGGATGGACCTACCTGATCTTCCAGAACCAGCTGAGATGAAGCCCTGCTCGGGGCGGCGTCTTGCGAGAGACATTTTTGGCAACATGCGGCGGAAGTTGGCAGGGATGTCTAAAGGCGTGGAGCTGCGGCCGAAACCAGCAAACTGCACACGGTTGAGAAGAGCAGCGGAGGCTCCTCAGAGGATGTCCTGTCCTGTGGGATTTGAGCCTCTCAAGCCTTTCTTTCATCAGTCTCACACAGGCCTGCATCAGCTGGACACCGATTTCTACAGGTTCTCTGCACTCATGAAGACGGGCAGCCGGCAGCCCATCATATGCAACGACATCATTGGATATATTTGAATGTCATGTCTCGTCCAAATACATTTAAATCAGACTGTTCTGGTGAAATGTCACAAATAAAAGTTTTTTATATATTTATTGAACAAATGTGCTCAATATTTATGGGAGAATAAAAGTAAAAATCCTCAAGCAATATGTTCCCCATGGAGACCTTTATTATCTCTTAATGACAAATCACATCTGATTTGTTACACAGTTTAGATATTTCAGCGTGTAGGTTGAGTTACCACAGCAATAATTCACACTCCAGCTTAATAATGTAACCAAGCAGAAAGCAGTGCATGTTTTTAAAGTGTCTGGATGTTAATTTGAGAGTGTGGAGTGAAACAATGTGAGGCTGAGCTTAAGGGCAGGACAAACACGAGCCGTCTGAGGACAGACGAAGGCCTTGTGGAAGAGGCTGGGAGGGGAGAGTGTCCTCAGCAGTGGGTCAGCTTACTCCTCTGCCAGTTTCTATCCAGATGTTTCCATCTACCCCAAAAAACATCTGCCACTACACAGAAATCACCAGATTTGAATATAACAGCAAAGAACCTAAAGATCTACTTAGGAAGAAACTCCAACAGCTCAGTGGGAAAATATACAGGAAAGTCTGTTTTTCATATCTGTTGTGAAGGCAGATTTTCAGAACACAAAGGAGATGTTGCATTACTTACTAATTGTAAATAAATAATAAAAACACTCATATCCTAGCACCCAGATTTCAATCATATTTACACTGATTGTGGTTATAATCTCCATTTGAAGCAGCTGACTTTGTTCCCAGTATTATGATCCCTGATCAAACAAAAAGTAACTATTTGCAACCTCCAGCTAACATCCTGGAGAGGAAAACAATCACATTTTTATGAAGTGTGCCAGCTGAGATTGTGACAACAAAGAAATCAAACAAAAATTTTAAAAAAGTAAAAGAAAACTTGTGCTATAAATCCTCTGTTCTATTAAACAAATGAATAAAAACAATATTTCAGTAGCAGTTGGTGTTGATACAAGACTTCTGTTTCACTGACTTGGTAATAAAGCTTGTACACTCAACAAGTAGTCTTACGCTGCTTCCACTATTATTTTGAGGGTTGGAGGCAGGAACTGTGCATTGGTCTATCATTAATAAAACCAGATTAAAATCTCCAAAATTATAAACTAGGACAAGGTACTCTGTTAAAAAATCAACACAAAAACAGCAACTGACAAGAACAATATCAAAAAAGTTGGATTTTATCAAACCATAAAACAGAGGAATGATGCAAATTGTTGTTCAGAAATATCTGTACATTTGGTATAATTTCAAGGAAACACTTTAAATGTTTAAATTCCCGTAGCAATCTTTGGTTAAAATGGCTTTACACTAGTTTTCGTCATTACTATTATTTATTAAGAGAAATAATATTCAGGGGCGTGGAGTCAGAAAACCTTATTGTTTGTGAAACCCATCACAGGAGCATGTACCTGATGGTAGGTACCGTCTCACAGTCCTCATCTTCATCAAACGAAGGGATCAGCTCTAACATCTTCTTATGAGGAGGGATTTCTGTCTTTGTCACCATTTTCACCAAATCGGACACACTGAAAAATACATTCACGCATATTATAATCTTTGTCCAAAGGGAAATGATGAATTTAGGATTAGACTTTCTTTTATTAACAGATGAACATGTGAAACAACTGCTTTTATATGTCAGTGTTTTATAACCTAACCCCATTTTGAACTTCTCAACAACTTTCCCTCTGCCATGTTCCTAGATCTTCACTGTTTTCTCACACATGTTCTCTAACAAACTTGTGGCGCCTTCACAAAACAGATGGATTTCTAATCATATGAAATCCTGCGCAGACAAACGTATGGCACATTTGTAGATATTTTTTTTTCATTTGTAAACTGTATTTGGAAAACATCGATCATTTTCCTTCCATTTTTAAACTGTGTGCTAATTTGCGTTTATCTATCACATAAAGTCCCAACACGATATGTTTAAGTCTGTGGTTTAAGTTGGATTGAGTAATGTTGCAGTGGGACTCTAGATGTTGGATATTATTCCAGTGGCCCTGCCTGATCCACTTATAACCTGCCCTGTTTATGATAAGTGTTGGTTAAGTCACAGTAAAAAGAAAAACATTGTTGCAGTGAACATCTACCTCTCCTATAAAACACCTCTAAATTTGTTAGAAAAATATGAGTCTTGTTTTTTGCCTAGCATCTTCATAATATAATGAATTATATTAAAATTGTTACCCATTAATTACTAAATAACAAGAAATGCCCTCCTGTCCATTTTGTGCTTTGTTCGTAACCTTTTGTCAGTTTTTCATTCTACTTTCAGTGACTTGACACAGGAAGCTCAGGGCAGGGCGACTGCACAGGAAGTGGCTGCTGTTGTGGACATTTATCAAGTAAAGCCTGGTGTCCACATGGTCGTCGTTCTGCCTCTCTTCCTGGAGCTTTATCTAGCCACCACAACGACTCCACAGAGACTCAAATGTCAACATTTGGGAGTTAACACCAACAATCAGCAGCATCAAATTTGACAAAAAATGAGAGAGGAACACTTTGCGTGTGAATTTGCCTGTGGTTTATTCATCTATCCTATCCTGCAATAATCAAAACGAACTGTGTAGGGTTAAGAGCGTTTCACATCCATTAGACAACTGACTCACCTCCCCAGGGGTATCTAACAAAACTAAACAGGCCCAAACAACGTGGCTTCTGGGATGCAAAAGTTCACTCTTATTTAACTCTTTAACGCTTTTGCACAACAAACAGAAACCTGAGGAGACGTCTCGGTCATCTGTGTGCGGTGATGCATGTGAGAGTGTGTCAACAGGGTCTATCCTCACGGGCTCTGCGGCAACAACTCCTTCTTCCATTATGACCCAAAACAAACAAAGGAGCGCTGCTTTTTCTGATGTGGTCTGAGCGCTGGACTGCTGCGAGTGCAGCCTTGAGGGGGCATCGTACAGAATTATTTTTACTGGACCTACCTCATTTTCAGCCTGTCTTCGTGTCCGTTGTATAGGATAGCAGTTCCATAAAACAGGCTGCAGATGGTCAGGTCATTTGTTTTCTGCATAAACAAAGAAAACAATATTTATACTTCTGTATGGGGACAGATACCTTTAGGCAGGATGATATGTACAATGGACATGAACACATTAGAATGATCCCTGCAGACAAATATGCTGACGTTGCTGAAGACAGATGAGAAGAAATGGGGTGTAATTCTGAGGCTTCAGTAGAGAAATGCCTTAACCAGTATCAAACAATTCAGCGTCACTCTGAATTTGGACCACAAAAAAATTAAAGCATCTCTGAAGGCAAAGTTTTGTGTACATTATTGCTGGTTCTACTCATCTCCATTTTCAAATCTCAGCCCATTCTATAGCATCTACTCAAGTTGAAAAATAAAGAAAGCAATTTCTACTGGTTACAATGTAGAAAATTTCAAATGTGTTTTACAGAATTAAATAGGGCAATCGCCTCAAACAATAGTGATTGTCACATTGCGTGCATTGCAGGAAGGAGAGCAAGTTTAGGAAAACAAATAAAAAGTGCATTCTGAAGCAGCGGGTGTGAAAAAAAAAGTGTTTCCTTGCAGTACCTTCACATGCTGGATGAGATCTGCCAAGGTCATTTCCTGCTGATTGCAGCGTCTTCCTTCAACAAGCAAATCATCCCACAGGGTGTACTTCTTTCCTGCGACCTGTCAATAGACACGTTACTTAGTTACACAGAACAAGTTGACAGACGAAGGACGGCTTGGTGTGACGGGTGTGCAGAGCATACCAGCTGACAACAATCAGCAGGGCCCCAACAACCCACAAAAAGGTCAAGAAGGTGCATCCTGTAGTGGGACTTTGCTTTTCTGAAGTTCCATCTTTGTCAAAGCTTCAGAATAATGTGAGACACATAAAATCTTAGCAGCATAAAAATGTTTGTGAGCTTGGAAAATATAATAAAATAATAAAATGGAGACATTTAAAGAGGACAACATTAAAGAACATTGATAGTTTCTAAAAATAACTTTTGGTGATGTACCAAAGCTCATGTGTTGAGAAAATGTAGGGGATTTGAGCAAGTTCATGTTCTGACTCAGTCAAAGTGACCGGGTCAGAATATGTCAAAACCTGTGGCTCTCCTTGGGGGCTTCAAGTTTACATTGGTCAATATGATATTAAGTGTCATCCTTTTTCCAAACAGTTATCAAATATTTGGTGTAAATTTATTTAAAAAAAAAAAAAAAAAACAGCACTGCAAGCTGAACTGTAGAGACACAATAATTAAGGCAAATCAAAAAGGATGGAGCCTACACCAACACTTAAAAACTAAGATTTCAGTTGTAGTTCAGGCTTCTTTTCTAATCGTCAATATAATGTCCTGCCATCAACTCGGCCTTTCCCATCAGATGAGCACAAGGTCACTATTCCAGCAGGATGAACTGAAGACCCCCAAACCACAACACAACACAAACCCAGACAGATTAATGTAACTCCTGCAACATAAACAGCAAATGTTTACCGTAAACATCATAATCCACTTGCAAAAGACATAAAGAATGAACATCATCAGACTAAAGTGGGTCAGGATTCCTCACATGCAGAAAGTAAGTCAAAATACGTCGCCCGGTCAGACGCTTCGGCTCACACACAAGCGCCGTCTGGCAAGAGAAGCTGTGAAGACCAAAACTTGGCCTGGGTTGTGAATACCAAAACCTCGGCCGAACCTGGCTCCAATTATCTCTGCATCAGCAGCCAAGGGGAACTTTGCGGACTAGCCCTCACAACTCCCACCACTTACTGGAGTTTGGGGTTATGGAGAAGTACTTGAAGCACACATCTCCCAAAGTTTAAACGTCTGTAAATGTGCTTTGTCCCAGTTTTCAGACAAAGCGCAGCTCATTTGCAGGATGCACATCATAACATTGGCCTGTTAGCAAACTTTAAATGTTTTTGCAGAATTTTATAAGAACCTGAAACTATTCATGAGCAAAACAATTTAAAATGAAAGGAGAAAAAAAAAGACTCTTTGCTAAAGCAGCAACATTGTGGTAAAACAAAATGGACTTTAAGTGGTCTCATGCCAGCTATTTTCAGTCATGCCTTTGTGTGTAAACGCTGTTTCTACACAATGCAGAAGAGGCGTGCAGCCTATTTTTACACGGTCTCCTCTCTTCCTCTAGCCTCAGTCATACAAGTATGGCAAAAACCTGAAGTAATCCAAATGATATCAGTCCAGATACTCAGCTCAGCTGGCAAAGCAAAAAGCAAACCAAAAAACTGCAAGAATCTTGGGATCAAACATGCTGCTGGAAACAATTACAAATGGTCTCCCACAAGCACAACTTTTTCATGGAGCTGCCACAATAAAACAGCAATGTGCCAGCAGAACATTTGCCTTTAGGGAAAAGACAAGAAATGTGAACCAGAATGTTGTTCTCCTTTAAAAACAAACTAAAACGAATCAGTACAAAAGAGTGAAATATGATTTATCAGTAGGAAACCATATTAAGACAATCCTTTATTAAATAACTAGGAGCACACTAGATGGATACTAGATAACAAATATCATTCTGCCCATAAACTTATTCATATTAGCATCAATAATTTATGTTACAAAAACAGTACCAACTAACATCCCTCCTAAATACTGCTTACAGTTTATTATGGTGTTCAACTTGCAAAAGGTAGGAAAAGTTTCTTTTTCCGTGTTTATAATAGCCACATTAAAAATAGATATCTAATTTGACTGGAAATAAAAAAATTTAAGGAGGCAGGGAAGTAAGCTAAAATGATCCCTAGAAAACATGGTTGAGTTTGGAAATAAAAAAAGGACATTACATTTGGATTTTCAGACTAAAATACAAATAAAAAATGGATCACAAATGGCATTTGTTTGGACATGAAAACAAATAGCAATTTGCCATGATCACAAAAGGTCATTCTGCTGAATTTACTTCAACTCATTCGATGCCATAAAGCAAACATTCTTCCGAGTTTTTAAAAAAAAGGATTAGAATATGATTAGAATATGTTTCTTTTTTTCAAACCGTGACAAGAAGCACCTATCATAATTTCTGTCAGTGATATTTTGAGATCTGAAGTTCCCCAATATCTGGCCAAACTTCCTCTTGTTGACAGGAAGTCTGAAGAGCTCCCTGTCTCTTCCTGACAAATCTGAAGCCAGCCAGTAGTTTATAATCTTCTAAAATAAGCCATATACACTCAACAACAATCATGTACACCTCCCACTTAAACAGACATAAAGCTAATATCAAAAAACAATTTACTTTGCAATACCACAAAAACATATGATTTTGTCAAAATTATCAAAAATAACTTCATTATATTCATTATTGCTCTGTTAAAGGTTTCAGAATGGTCAAAAGAACTGCAGCTCCAAAATTTGGCCTTTCACCCACATGTCCCTGCCTGGCCACTGCTCATTTCACAATAATCTTTCATTCCTGCAGTTAAAATTTCCCAAATATGAAAACTACAGATCATTCTTAATGTACCCTCTGTTAACATAAAAGCTAATACCAGATTTGACATGCTTTTGCCTTTTATTGTGTAAATAACTAATACAGTTTAACAACTAAGCCACATTATACCTACTTTAATAATAAACCTGCATTTATCATTTGAATTACTTTATAGTTCTTTAGCTTGGCAGTACATTTAAACTGATGCAGCATGAAAATGGATGCCTTGTCCAACACATATCTATAGGAGCCTTATTACAGTAAAGGGCCAAATACTCTAAAAAACAATCAAACAGCATTCCAGTCTGAAAAGAAGTCAACATGGAAAATTTTACGACGCTATGAAGTAGTAAGTCATAATCCTTTGATCACAGGTCGCTTCCTTCATTCTTGCTTTTAAAACAAATTTTAAGGAACCAGTAATCTGAGTTGAAGCATAAGCCCTCCCATTTACATTGTGCCTCAAGAAATATTGTCCCTCTGCAGAAGCTTTTTTTCTGCTTCATTATCGGCCCAGAATTCCAACATTGGAAACGTTTTTACAGCCCGCTGTGGCTGGAGGCTCGTTTCTTCAAAGGCAGCTTTTTTCTTTTAAAATGGCTTCCAAGTGAGATTTTGGAAAGTCAGATGGTGAATCTGTGTGGCCTCCTCACATCATATTTATATCTTAATCTCATTGAGCTTGTCTAGTCTTTGCTTCTCTTTCTGCAGACATCCTGGCAACTGAAAGCCCTGCGTTGTTCTTTTGACCATATCTGAGCCTCAAATACACGCAAATACATGTTGTACTAATCTAATAATAGGCTAATCAAGTACTCCATACAGTTTATTTCTGCTAAGAAGTCTATTCTTTTCTTAATGCATGCATGTTTTCCTATCATTGAATGGATGATACTTAAAGATTTACAATTGAAATCTTTATCTACCACTATTCCTGAAAATACTCCCTGTTCGAAAAACTAAATAGGCAAACTGTAGGTTCATGAGGCTAAAGAAGCAAATTATGTTGGTCCACATGGATAAAATATAATATTTTTCACACATTCACTCTTAATGATTTACCGCAAAGAAAAAAAAAAAAAGATTTTTTCAAGCTTTAATCAGAAGTGACCTCCGATGGTTACATGTAGGTAATCTGAAAAAGTAACAGTGAAAATTGACAGTAAACAACGAACTGTTGTATTTTTTAAGGAAGAAGTGAAGATTTGGTTCTTGCTGTGTCTTTATCAGCTAATACTGACCGCAGATCTGCATCACAGAAACAACAAAAGATATCAGAGTCTGGTGTCACATTTTAATCCAGCCAAATCAATATCAGTTTCAGTTTTGAAAAATGAATATTATTTGTGCTATATTATTGTGATTTAACCACTAGTAACTGTACATGCAAGACATGCAAACATGGTAAATGTTCATTGACTAGACAGAAGTCAAAGGGCATCTTCTAAAACACATCTGTTTATATGGCTTTAGATTAGCCTTTTTTGTCTTGTAACTGAAGGATGAAAGTACACTGTAAAAAGCACCTTTTGTCTATTTCCGTCCTTTTGTCTGCCAATTGATCAATATTGATCGCCACAGCCTTTGGGATTCGGTGAAAGGACAGATGGTCGGGACCTCCAACTGGTATTTCCACTCACTAAAATGACTAAATCTCCAAACACTGGGCATAATTTCAGCCTTACAGTAACAACTGGGGTGAGATATAAAATGTGATAACCAGGTAAAAAACAAAAATACATAAAAGAGTCTGTTTAATAAGCTGTTTTTTGATGTGCTGCCTCAGGATGGAGGAGGTGCAGCTGACTGCAGCACAACAGGCACTTCTCAGCAGAGCGCAGAGTTTGACAGACGCACTAAAAGCAGTCTGTCGCTTTTGAAAGGCTCCCATTGACGTGTAAAACAACAAATAGAATCTCAGTGTGATTGTCTTTCAAATGAGAAGATAACGACACTCCACCTGACTGAAAATGACCCCGGGGCAGAAGTACTGAGTCAATAAAACTCTGACAAATGGGCCAGTGACATGATGGAGTCGGCAGAAGAACTAAATGTCGGAGAGACTGCAGTTTTAGCTGAGACAGTTTGACCCAGCCATTCATCCATCTAGAATTAATTACTTATTTAATAATGGAACATCTTAAAGTCTACCTATTATATGCTATTGAGGTTTGTGAAATAGTCTATATGATCTCTCCAAAACGTTTCCAGGTGATATAAGG